TACAAAACAGGAAGTGTTGCATATCTCCACATTGGTGTGTCCGAATGACATGAAACTCAGTTTACTACTTCCCCATGAGCCCCCGAGGGTCTGTGCAAAATGTCAGGCGATGATCACAAGGTGGCACTCTTTAAATTGAAGTATTTTATATCTCCACATCGGTTACTCAGATTAACACAAAACTTAGAACAATTATTGTCAATGCCCTCCTGAGGATATCTGACAAAGGAGTTACCGATCTGCCACTAGGTGGCGCTGTGGTGGCAGTCTAATTTAATATTTGGCACTGTGCCAACACCATAACACTTATGGAAATGAAATTGATAGGGGTAGTAAAGACTGGCCCCTATAACTCACACACCAAAAATGACCAGCAGGTGGCACTATTTTCAATGCAAAAGCGTTTTTTGGCCCACATCTCCCACATAACATGTCGCACGTTTTAAAACTTTATATCTCAGTGTTCCCTGAATTCAGCTGAATTGTGTGATGTAAGGCACGCCCACTTTTGCATTAAATTTCCATTTGCAAAATTGCGAACAATGAGAAACCTACTTTTTCAAACTCCTCCTAGGCAATTTGACTGATTTGCAACAAACTTTGCATGAAGCATCTGTGGACCCTCCTGACAAAAAGTCATTAAAAGAATTTTGTTTGTCCAAAAAACGCCCAAAATGTAAAACAACAAATTCCTGCACATTGTTTTCAAAACAGACAGTCTTTCATATCTTGAGCAAATACAGTCGGATTACCACAACACTTTCGCTAATTGTGTTCCATGGCCTGATGAGGGTTTGTGCAAAATTCGGTGCAAATCAGCCAATAGGTGGTGCTCTGGTGGCAGTCTAATTAGTGTGAATGGAAGTAAATTGGAAAATCTTCAAATCGTCTTCAAAACTCATCAACTTTCAACCTCTTCTTGTCCCTCATACTTTGAGCTAGAGACAACATGTCAACTTTTAAAGAGTCAGAAGACCTTGAATGCATTAACTGTACATAATCAATCTATCTTTATCTTTATTTCGGCCATGACCAATATTCTTTTGTTTATGAACACTGGTAGATAACTATCTTGCCACCAGGTGATCTTTGGCTGCTCCTGACGCTACCGTCATAAAAACAAGAGACCGCACATGCGCAGTTGCGCACTCTCAGCTGATTGTAAACACATAAGATGGCGACAAGACGCAACTTAAGTGTTCATTTAAAGCTAGACGTTTTGAAATATTGCGAACAACTGTCGGGGGAATACGCCGCAGGGCATATGACGCCTGGTATGCAGAGGACGGCAACAAGGCCTTCACAAAAGGAGTGAACATGAGAGCAGCTGACAAACGCAAGATAACGGCTTACCGTCCCCAGGTCCAGTAATTTCCTCTTTCGTCTGTGTCATGACTGCCCAGTACCTGGACAACCGAGCCATGGCAGAACACAGGTAACGTGTTAGGTAACGTTAATGGCGTTAGGCTGACCAAACGTCCTGTTTTGCCTGGACATGTCCACTTTTCACGTCCTGTCCGGGGCGTCGGGGGTTTTTTTTTATGAACTGATAATGTCCGGTTTTCCGTGTGTTTGTGTGTGTGTGTTAGAGTGCAGCACAGCCGCATATTTCTGTTCGAACCCGAACCGAGCCCGACATTATTTATAACCAAAGCACTGAGTTTGTGCCACACAGTTGTTACGGCTGAATTATTAATAAATGGTTGTGTGTTGACGTTCACCGCGCTATCCCGACGTGCTTTAGGTAACTCATAATTTGTGGTTTATTAGCGTTATAAGCGTTCAGCCTCTAATGTGTGTATAGCGCATCTCACTCGGTTAGCACTCGGCTAACTCCCGGGAGCATTCTCGGTGGTCGATGTTAGCCGAGACATGCCGGTGGTTGAACACTCGCTGAGCTAATGTGGACTAATGTTTGACTCCGTGGTCTGTTGTAGAGCATTGTGTTGTGTTTCATGCACGTGCAGGTGTACGGGGGTTGCCGTGTGTTTGTATATCCGTTATTGTTCAATAAACATGCATTTTATCTCGGGATGTCTCGAAATTTTCTTCACCCCTTCTTCGTCCTGCAATGAATGCGTGCACTGGCTTTCTACTGCGCCACAGCGCCACTTCAGCGGTTGGGAGGTGTATTGCACATTGGTAGTAAGTGTGAAATCTGTGACTATGCGGTTAGTACATTACATGTTTGATTTGAACGTTTATGGAGACGTGAATCGGTCGAGACCGGGAACCCCCAAACGAAAAACGGGATTCGTTTTCAAGATGTTCATGCAATGAACGTATTAGTCCAAGGCTAGTGCAGTATGTAAACAAAGCATGGATACCAAGAGGCGAAGCTCAATAGAACGTCCCATAGCAACAAATTCCCCCATGGCTTCGTCCTGCCACCGCCATTTTGGACCGTCAGCAGACCACAGCAGACCCACTTGCATACAAAAACACACAGACAAACTGTAGTATATCGCTATTAATTATGCTTACAATGCTACTCACCTCGTGATATCTTGGTCACAGCTGCTTTTTCACGTTTTTGTAAAGCAAAATATAGACTTTAAAAAAAACAAAACGAGGAAAAACGGCAGAGATGGCATCTCTACATATTACATCCACTTATGAGAAGATTAACTTAATTATTCCTTCAAAATCACCCCATAAGCCAATCTACAAAAAAAAAAATTAAAAAAAATCAATATTTTAACTAGAAAAACATTAATGGCGACGTCACATAGTCAGGAATAAAGATTTCTATACAGTTTGTACAGTAAGGGGACAGTAATAATAATAATAATAATAATAATAATAATAATAATAATAATATATAGGTTATTTTAATATGATA